AAATCTTGATCGAATTTTCATTAAAAATGTTCACAAAAAAGACGATAATTGTTAATTGATCAATTATCGAGCTAAAATGACTATTATGAAATAAGAAAGTGAAAAAATTGTTATGGTTGTACAACCCATGAAAAAATAAATTGCTTTTTCTTTTTGAATAAAATTGAAGATTTTTCAAAAACTCAAAAGTCTCAACTAATATTAAGTCAAAAAGATTCATTGACTGAGAGCGGGAATAATGTAATTGCAACAAACTTACAAAATTGCAACAAGAAAAGAACAAATATACAATATTGAACAAAGTATAAATTTTATATAACTACGAGAGTATATTATAAGTGCATATAAAAATTATTACAAAACAAAAACAAATAATAGTTAAATAGAAAAACTAATTTACTTGAAAACTTTAATGAGAAATTTGGCACTGCTTTTTTATATAAGCTGATTAATATCAGCCATTTTTAACTTCCCGTAGGGTAAGTTATAGTAATCGCAAAAAAATCGAAAATGAAAATTTTTATATATCTTTACGTTTCAGAGGTTTCTGAACATTTTGGCATACCTTAGAAAAAATGGATGTATGTGTGTGTGTGTGTGTGTGTATGTGTGTGTGTGTGTATGTATGTATGTGTGTGTATGTATGTGCGGATACAAATTTTCGTCGACGATTTTGGGAACACGGGTCAACCGATTTGAATAATTCAAGAAACATTCGATTCGTATTGATAAGGAGACGTGCTGATTAGTTTTTGGCGAAGGCAGATCTAGCCGTTCCGAAGATACGGGGCAAAAAGTGCCGAAAACGGTAACTCAGTTTTTGAGAGAACGGAGCGTCCGATTTGAATAATTCAAAAAACATTTCACTTGTATTGACAAGATGAAAAATCTATAAAATTTTCATGAAGGTAGGTCTAGCAGTTTCGGAGATATGGAGGATAAAGTAAAAAAATGAGCCATTTGGCGGTCAAAAATGATCATTAGACATATGCTCATCAAATTATCAGATATTTTATAGAGATTTTAACAATAAGTATACAATTTGTTAACATTTCTATGGGTTCCGTACCAATGCTTATGCGTTAGACAGCGACGCGGCGCTTACGCGCTTTATATTTTGTCCTATGCAGTTACAGCAGTACGATTGCTTTGAAAAGAAAGTTCAGATCTTCCACAATATGTCAAAATAAAAAAAAATTTTTTCAAAAAAAAAACAAAAAAAAAATTTAAAAAAAATTTTTAAAAAAAAAATTTTTTTTCAAAAAAAAGTAATTTTTTGTCCAATTTATAGTTTCTCAAAAATTTTATTTTTTCAAAGTAATTTTTTTTTTCAAAAATGTTAATCGTTTTGAAAAAAAAATAATTTTTGGTACGGGAAGTTCCAGCAATTTGCCTTAAGGCACGATGCCTTAATTGCGTTAAGACAGAATTCCACTTACAGCTAGTTTTAAATCTTGTTCTTGCAGGAAAGAAGCAACTTGTACGCAGCTTTGATATGTTTCGCTCAATTTTGGTCGATGGATAATTCAAAATTAACACAGATCCAGAGAAAAGTTGTCTGGATTGGGTACGTGACATATGTTTTCTAATGTACCTTTTACTGCTGAAAATAAATCTATAGTCAAAATTGAGATGCAAAATATTTAAAAACTGGTACAATTTTCAATCTATAAATTGTTCTAAATGAATGAATTATTTTCCATCGATTTTTTTGTGGGCCTGTTTAATTGTTCGCACACATACGTACTTCCAAAAAAAGAATTTACATAATTTTCTTTGCGTTTTTGTTTCAAAAGCAAAAATTTCTCAAAGCTAACATGAGTTTTATAAAAAAATTCGATGTTTACTGAAAAAAATTTTTGTATCTGTATTATTTTGCATGCTGATTACTTTCTGTGATAGTTTTCATAAAGTGTACCAACATCGATTTTAAATGGCAAAGAAAACAGCTGTGTTGCTATCTTTGAACATTTGGAATCACAATTTCCTTTTTCTAAATATGGAAAGTGAAACACAAGATTCTGCAGAAGATATTATTCATCATTGCCAAATTGACGAAAGTACTACAATTTTGCCATATAGACGCTCTATATTGCACAGGAATTCTTTAAATTTACAGTGATTTAACCCTCGCGACTTTATAAAACATACTTATTTAATTATTTTAAATTTGGATATTCGTTATTGCTATGTTCTCGGACAAGTTCCAAAAATTTTCTTGCAATATTGTTAAACAAATAATTAAATTAATATTTGTTTTATCAGGAAATACTATTTCTGCGAATAACAGTTTTTAACAGTTTTTGACTGACAACAAAATTAGCCTTTAAAGCCGTATTTGATAAAATATCTAGAAAAATAAACTTTAGTTGAGAAACGCTTGGCGGGCCGCAGAAAAACATCCGGCGGGCCACGGGTTGCTTATTCTTGGTCTAGAAATAAGTAGCCACACCCATTGGCAAAATCTACTTGAAAAATAAAAGTTCAAAAAGTTTCTATTAACTAAATTCAAAGTGGTTAAAAGCTTCTTTCAGTACTAGCAATATATATGTAAATGTATATATATATATATATATATATAATCCTGCATACTCAGGACGAATTTAATTGGCTATTAAATAGGTTTAACTCAATTCTACTCACGTACATTGAGACGAGAACTCTACAATTTGCAAACATACATCGGTTATGATATCCACTTTAGAAAACATTAAACGTTTTACACCGATTTTGAAATACTTTATATTTAATATACATAATCTAAAATTAATCAAAATCTATATAATACTCATAGTGTAATTGTTTTCTATAAATCAATATATATATATATATATATATATATATATATATCTTAATAAACAGCTCTAACAAATATATTATGTGTTATATTATTATCAAATAGTCAAAGTATAAATAGTATAGCATAAATTTTCTATATTTTTGCCAATGATATATAATTTGTGGAGTTATAAATAATATAATATTATTTGATACGTGGAAGCATAATAAATAACGTTATATTAAAATTTATAATTTTAATCTTATCGAAAAAATAATAATAAATTACGTCCATCTTATTCATTTATTATTTTCTCCGTATATTATTTTATGTATTACAAATATAAAACAATTAATTGTTAAATAAGCTCGAATTAAGACACTAATACATTAAAATATAATTATTTATTAAATTATTAAAATATATTTAATATTAAAATATATTTATTAAATTATTAAATATATATTATTTCTTATGCTCAAGAATTGCACAATGCAGCATCGCATTATATGGTTATATCCCACCGATAACATAGGGCATGCCCTGTCAACTATAATATTCAAAGTAATATTGCAGGGTAGAGCGGGGCACAAAAGTCCAATTTTACTTTTCAACTTTATAATTTTACTTTATAAAATCCAAACCAATTATATCACAATAATTAACACATATCAAACTAGTGGGGCGCATCGCATCGCGCCTTAAGGCAAATTGCTGAAACTTCCCGTACCATTTTTTTTTTAAAAAAAAGATTAACATTTATGAAAAAAAAAATACTCTGAAAAAATTAGATTTTTCGGAAACTATAAATATTTGACAAAAATTTATTTCTTTTTTTAAAAAAAAGACTTTTTGAAGAAAAAATTATTTTGAAATATTTTGGAAATTCTGAACTTTTTTTCAGAGCAATCTTACTGCTTTAACTGCGTAGAGACAAGATATCGAAGCGCGTAAGCGCCGCGCCGCTGTCTAACGGATAAACATTAGTATGGAACCCATAGGAATGTAAACAAAATTTATACTTATTGTTAAAATCTCTATAAAATATCTGATAATTTGATGTGCATATGTCTAATGATCATTTTTGACCGCCAGGTGGCATTTTTTTAATTTTTTTTTTACTAGATCTCAGAAACCGCTAGATTTGCCTTCATGAAAATTTGACCAGTTCTTCATCTTATGAATACAAGTAAAATGTTTTTTGAATTTTTCAAATCGGCCGCTCCGTTCTCTTAAAAACTGAGTTAGCGTTTTTGGCACTTTTTGCCCCATATCTTCGGAACGGCTAGACCCGCCTTTGCGAAAAACTAATCAGCACGTCTCCTTATCAATACGAATTAAATGTTTTTTTAAATATTCAAATCGCTTCATTCGTGTTTCCGAAATCGTCGACGAAAATTTGTATCCGAACACACACACACACGCACACACACACATACACATACATCCATTTTTTCTAAGGTATGCCAAAATATTCAGAAACCTCTAAAACGTCAAATGTATAAAAATTTTCATTTTTGATTTTTTTGCGATCACTATAACTTGCCCTACGGGAAGTTAACAACTATCTAACTGTATTCAGTAAAATTCCAATCTGAATCATCTTTGTAAAAATGCATTTTATTTGCTGTTTTTTTTTAAAAAAAAATCACCTGATCCTTTTATCCCATAGGCGAGATTAATTGGGACAAACAGGGGGTAAACAAGTTCAATAATTTATTTTAATTTTAAAGGGATTTTAAAAAAATAATAGCTACATTATTCAATCAATTTAAAATATAGATTTTATGTGTGCATTTTTTACAGACAACACTGTAAATAACCTTGATCTAGTAAATATTCTTGAGCAGAGTTAGAATAACTAATTATTTATTCTCTTGTAAAATAGCTTTTTTTAACTAAATTTTCTTTTTTATTTCGCATTTTATTTTTTAAAACGCAAAAAACTAACAACGAAAAAAAATCTTTTGTTGTGGATTTTTAAACATTGCCGTTTACCTCCCGATAGCAACGTCGTAAGAATCAATAAGAAAGCTAGTTATACATCTTTTCCCCTCTATTTTCAAATATTGTTGTTGAAAATGGACCTTTTTACGTGCGTACTTTTAAGCCCCGCTCTACCCTATTGCATATTAACTGGCAAGTATAAGAACACCCATAAATATCGAACCTCGAGCGTGATAATTATATTACGATAAACAAATTTAATCAAGTAATAAGATTATCCTTTACCGGTTAGAAATGAGAGTCGCCTCATCGCAGGAAATGGATGGTTCCCGGAAGTGTCCAAGAGATCCAGCTGGTGCACTTCTCCTCGTATCCGGTACAATTTCCTATGGAAGTCTTCTATAGTAGGCGTGTAACATTCATCAAATTTACCACCAAGAAACCGTGAAACTAATGATGTTTTTCCTACTCTTGCTGACCTGTAAAAAACAGAAACCAATGTATTAATATTATAAAGAATTTTAAACACAATACCATTTATAAACAGTGTAGAGAATAATTATTAACTTTCCGTAGGGTAGTTATTATTGTGAAATAATGCAATTCGTGCGGCTTTGATAAATAATCAAAGTACATGGCCAGAGCGCGAATACGGAAGTGCACATATGTCACGTCCTATACCTAATAAATAGAATAGAGATCCTCCATCAAATTCAGTGAGTCTTAAGAGAGAGTCTAGAGCAAGGATGAGCAACCCGCGGCCCGCGGGCCGCATGCGGCCCGCCGGATGTTTTACTGCGGCCCGCCAAGCATTTCTCAACAACAGATTATTTTTTCAAATCAACAATAGATATTTTATCAAATGCGGCTGTAAAGGCTAATTTTGTCGTCAGTCAAATTCTGGTAAAAACTGTTGTTCGAAGAAACAAGAGCATTTCCTGATAAAATAAATATTATTGATAAAATAAATATTAATTAATTTATTAATTTATATAAATATTAACTAGCTTCAATATTGCAAGAAAAGTTGAGAACTTGTCCGAGAACATAGCGACAACGCATTTCTAAATTCAAAATAATTAAAAAAGTGAATCTTATAAAGTCGCGAGGGTTAAATCATCGTAAATTTAAAAACTTCCTGGCAATTTAGATCATGAATATGTCGATTTTAAATACTAAAATACGTTAGCTCAATAATGTTATGCTTAAAGGAGTATACGACTCAAATGGCGAATTACAATTGTTTTTGGATATGAAATAATAATTATAGTCCTTTAGGCATTTTGCTAATAAAGAATAATATCTTTTGCAGAATCTTGTGTTTCACTTTTCATATTCAAAAAAGGAAAATGTGAACAAATTTTAATTGTGATTCCAAATGTTCAAAGCTAACGAGACAGCTGTTTTCATGTAAATGTTTTCTTCGCCATTTAACATGCAAAATAATACATGCAATAAAAAATTAATTTTTTCAGTAAACATCGAATTTTTTTATAAATCTAATGTCACCATTGAGAAATTTGCGCTTTTAAAAAATACGCAAATCAAATTATGATAAATTATTTTTTTGGAAGTACGTATCTGCACGTATTACACAGGTCCACAAAAGAAAAGTCGCTGGATAATAATTAATTCATTCAGAAAAGATCTAGATTGAAGATTGTGCTAGTTTTTAAATGTTTTTCAATATTTTGTGCCCCAATTTTGACTATAGATTTATCTTCAGCGGTAAAAGAAACATTGGAAAACATATATCACACACCCAATCCAGACAACTCTTTTGTGTGGACCTGTGTTAATTTCAACTATAAAATTCATAAAAAATTACCATTTATCAAAACTGATTGAAAAACCTGCATACGCGTTGCTACTTTCCGCATTAAAAAAATTAAAATAAAGCACAAAATCAAATATAAAAAAGCAGTGGTAAATTTTGTATTAAAGTTTTTAAGTAAAATTGTTTCTCTTTTAAGTATTATTTGTTTTCATTTTGTATTAATATTTATAAACACTTATGATATACACTCGTAATTATATAAAATATATGCTTTGTTCAATTTTATATTTTGTTCTTTTCTTGTGGCAATTTTGTAATTTTGTTGCAATTACATTATTCCCGCGCTCAATCAGTAAATCTTTTGACTTAATTTTACATCAGACTTTTATCAGAGTTTATGAAAAGGCTTCATTTTTATTAAAAAAGCAATTTATTTTTATCATTGCTTGTACGGTCGTGATAATTTTTTTAAATTTTTTTCTTAATTTTACTTTTTGTGCGAAATGGAAAACTACACACAACTCCAAATTTTCATTATTTCAAAATAGTCATTATAGTAGTCCAATCATTTTTTATATAGCTCGGTAATCGATCAATTAACTACTATTTCTTATGAACGTTTTTAATTGAAATGCGATCAAGATTTTTCTGAGCTTATAAAGATGCTTAAATTTATCCGCTCTATTCGCTGCAACATATCAAAAATGGCAACGAAATGGTTACCTCCGATAAAACTAACTAATTTGCAGGCTTATCCTATCGTACAAATATTTCTCGATGTGCATCAGAAGTGCATGCGACACATTTTTGAATGTGTCGCAAAAGGAGCTATTTCAGCAAAAAAATGATTAATTTAATTTTAAAATCAGGAGATAAAACTGTTTTTGAAAGAAAACTGGAATTATTTTCGGAGTATAACATAATTATAATATGAATTTTAGTATTTTAGCTTTGCAGTGGGTAAATTATCAATGTAATGTTATTTATACATTCAGAATTAGTTAGTCATTTCGTATACTAATGATTTTCTAAAAAAATTTTCTGTAGCTAAACGTTTGCCGGGTCAGCTAGTATATATATATAAATTACGTGCGGCCCGCCATAAAATTTGAAAATTTAAATTGGCCCGCGAGTTAAAAAGGTTGCTCGCCCTTGGTCTAGAGCATAGGTTCCCAAACTTGTTTGTGCCGTGGACCCCTTGCGATATTTTTAACTTCCCGTAGGGTAAGTTATAGTAATCGTCCAAAAATCGGAATTGAAAATTTTTACATTTCTCGACGTTTTGAAGGTTTCTGAACATTTTGGCATACTTCAGAAAAAATGGATGTGTGTGTGTGTGTGTGTGTGTGTGTGTTTTGTATGTCCGCGTTTTTTCGTCCACGTTTTCGGGCGCACGGATCAACCGATTTGAATGGTTTAAAAAACATTCGATTCCTATTGATAGGGAGATGTGCTGATTAGTTTTTGGCAAAGGCAGGTCCAGCCGTTACGGAGATATGGAGCAAAGAGTGCAAAAAATAGAAAGCGAGTTTTTAAGAGAACGGATCAACCGATTTGAATGGTTTAAAAAACATTCGATTCCTATTGATAGGGAGATGTGCTGATTAGTTTTTGGCAAAGGTAGGCCCAGAGGTTTCGGAGATACAGAGCTAAATTTAAAAAAAATTGCTGTTTTTGAGAGAACTAAGCGTCCGATTTAAATGATTCAAAGAACTTTCTGCTTTTTTCAACAAAATAATTGATTTTGGAAAAAAAAAATTTTTGTTTCTAATTTTTTTTCAAAAAAATTTTTTTGTAATTTTGGATTAAAAATTCAAAAAATCACCCAAGCTAAGAACAGTCTAAGCGCCACTCTGGTACAAATGTTTACCCAAGTGCGTTTAGACTGTTTGTGTACCGGAGCACTTTTCCAATTTTGTGAAAATTATTGAAAAATGTGAAAATGCCGCCAAGCTGAGCACAGTATAAGTGAAAATGTCGCACAGAATTATTTGCAAAATTATTTGTTTAGACTGTGACTATGCGGGAGCACTTTTTCAATTTTGGGTAAATTTGGCAACTATTTTTTTTTTTGGAATTTGATTCGAAATGAAATGACGATTGTTAAAGTTCTGGAGATGATAAATTGATTTATTTATAATTAATTTTCCATAGGGTAAGTAATCGCAAAAAAATCGAAAATGAAATTTTTTATATATCTGGTATGGTTTCTGAATATGTTGGCATACCTTGGAGAAAATTGATGTATGTGTGTGTGTGTGTGCGTGCATGTGTGTGTGTTCGGATACAAATTTTCGTCGACGATTTCGGGAACACGGATGAAGCAATTTGAATAATTCAAAAAACATTCTAGCCGTTCCGGAGATACGGGGCAAAAAGTGCCAAAAACGGTAACTCAGTTTTTAAGAGCACGGAGCGTCCGATTTGTATAGTTCAAAAAACATTTTACTTGTATTAATAAGATGAAGATTTGATCAAATTTTCATGAAGATAGGTCTAGCGGTTTCGGAGATCTAGTAAAAAAAACTAAAAAAAAATAACATTTGGCGGTCAACAATAATCATTAGACATTAGACATATGCATATCAAATTATCAGATATTTTATTGAGATTTTAACAATAAGTTTAAGTTTTGTTTACATTCCTATGGGTTCCGTACTATTGTTTTTCCGTTAGACAGCGACGCGGCGCTTACGCGCTTCTATATTTCGTCTCTATGCAGTTAAAGCAGTACGATTGCTTTGAAAAAAAGTTCAGATCTTCCAAAATATATCAAAATGAAGATAACATTTTTTCCAAAAAAAAATTTTTATAAAAAAAATTGTTTAAAAATTTTTTTTAAAAAAAAATTTTTTTTTCAAAAAAAAGTAATTTTTTGTCCGATTTAAAATTTCTAAAAAATCTTATTTTTTCGAAGTGAGATTTTTTCAAAAATGTTAATCGTTTTTAAAAAAATAATAATTTTTGGCACGGGAAGTTCCAGCAACTTGCCTTAAGGCACGATGCCTTAATTGCCTTAAGACAGAATTCCACTTACAGCTAGTTCGTTTTGTCATGGACCCCCTATATTATGGTTTATCCGGGACAGTTCCAGGTTTCCATCTTTTTATTCGGGTTTTTTCAAAATCATTATTTGTCCCGGATTATTGAAAAGTATAGGTTTAAATCTTAATTAAAATTTTCTTAATTAAAATTTCTTTTTTCTTAAATAAAATTATATTACTACATATATAACTTATAAATTATATAACTACTTATCAAATTAATTATGTGAATCGATGTATTTTTTCTCTCTTGTAAAACGCTATGAATGAGAAAATTGCTGAATACAAAATTCCAAAGGCGAATTTGATTTCATGAAATTAAAAAAAAAGAAAACAAGCAAGCCAAATGTAATTTTTTCAAGTTAATTATGAAGAAAATTGAACAGAGTTTTATAGAAGTCTCAAATGCGAAAAAAGCATATAGATTAAAAAATATAAGATATAATATAACAGCATGGTAAAAGATGATTGTAACATATGATCGAGTTAAAAGGCTTACTAAAAGTCTGCAATTGTAATTTGAAAAAAATATTTTTGAAGAAACTGTTTTTTATTGTATTTTTAAATGGTATCTTTTACCTGCGTAACATATATTTGTTATTTGTGATACTATTAACTGATCGTCCTATGCTCAACTTAATATATCGAGCAACAAAAT